TATGTGAATAAAAAATCAAAATGGAATTTATTTGTAAAGCCTCAAAACATAACTAATGAACAGAGGAAATGTTAGTTTAGTTCCAGGAATACCTACATTGTTCATTCTGGACCCTATTTTGAAATTGGAATATTTTGAACTTTGTGTTAAATTGGCCAAATTAACAATTTCCGATCACTTTATTTTGTAGTTGAAACAGTTGACTTGGCGATTTCTTGTGCTCAATCGATAGAATAGAAGTAATACTAGTGAAATAGCTAAGAATTTGGTTGATTGGAATAATGTAATTGGCCTAAAATGGGAGTCAAAGTCGGCAAAATCGCCGATTCGTAAATATCGCTGACACATCAAAATTCGCAAGAGCATAATTTCGTCAGTTTTCCACCAAATTTCGTACTTTTTGTTTTATTACCTTCACAAAAAGATTCTCTACGATTTCATAAGAAAAAATAACAAATTTTTTTTTTGAAAATTCTTGGACACTGGTGCGTGACTCCAGATTTGGGCCTTGGACCCTGAAAGGGTTAACACAAAGTTTAAAATATTCTAATTTTAAAATAGGATCCAGAATAAACAATGCAAGCATTCCTGGCACTAAACTAACATTTCCTTTGTTCATTAGTTATGTTTTCAGGGTTTACAAATGAATTCCACTTTGATTTTTTATTCACAATGAATTTTTATTCACACCAAAAAAAATTGAAGATATACTCTTATGCAATGTTGTAATAATTGTAAAAATAATATCAGCACATTCGTGAATGTATATTAGACCCACCAGCTGATGCGTATTAGATGCTTGACGTCATTTGTTACTTTTGAACATCAGCAAAAATTGAACATTTCTACTACTTTGAGCTCATTTTGAAGCCATTTTCAGTACTAAAACTAATCAAAATCATCTCTATTTCTGTAATATATCTTACATTCTATCAAATGAGACCAAGAAGACACGAATACAACTGTAAAAAACACCGCAAAGTCACTATTTGAATCCATAATTACGGTCATTTTTTTCTCTCATACACTGTGTGCTGCAGGATTCGTTTTATGTGGTGCACACTTGCCACATAGATGTACTCTCTCATATCTAGGCCCAAATTTACCATTCACAGGTTATCTGAGTGAGCTGAGTTTATGGCGTAGATCTTGGACCCTGGCTTCAAAGCCATAGATTTACGGGATGGACCCTGAAAGGGTTAAGTGGCATGCTGTGGCTCTACTGGTCCTCTGATGAGGTGGATGGGGTAGATGAAGGTGGATGGGGTAAATGAAGTGCATCGCTAGGGTTTGTGAGTCAAAGCTGATGGCTAGCTAGGGTTTGCGGGCTGAAGTGGATGGCTGGGGTTTGCTGGCTGAAGCAGATGGCTGGGGTGAGGTTGACATAGATCTGTTACTTAAGGGAGCCCCGAATTATTGTCATATATCTCGGCTGTGTTTTGCTCACCAGTACTTCATTCAGCCGACTGTAGGGCATCGTTGCTGGGTCCAGCATCCATTTCAGAGCAACTGTTGAAGTGTTAACTGTTTCTCTGCAGGCTCCTCTTCTTCATTCTCTTCAACTCTCCAAGTCCCTTCTATCTGGGAATTCAGCTCTGCTAACATTTCCTCTGGATTTCTTTCTAAGTCATCATTTTCTGATAATTTATTGACCTTTTGGCTGCATGTCTTCAAAAGCGTTCATCTGGCTGTCTTCTTGCCAGCTGAATAATTTCCTTGACTTGATTTACAACTGAGAGTCCTGTTAAAATATTCACCACACCAGGCCATAATTTTCTTCAGCCTGCATCTGTTGTCGATTTCGTCACTTTATCCCATGTATCTTTGACATACGGTAAGGCATCTGCAATGTTAAATGTATGCCAGGATTCTGGCTATTGCCGCTGCTACTGCTACTTCCACAAATATTGCTACTTCCACTACTATTACCACTACTATAATTGCCATCACTACTACAGGTACCACTAGTACTCCCATTACCACTGGTACTGCCATTATTACTGGTACTGCCACAACCACTTGTACTGCCACTACCATTGGTACTGCCATTACAACTGGTACTGCCACTACCACTACTACAACCAGTACTGCCACCACCAGTTCTACTGCTACCACCGCCAGTACTGCCTTTACCGGTACTACTGCTGCCCTCACTACTACTACCACCACCACCATTACTACTGGCACTACTGCCACCACCACCACTACTACTGCCACCACCACCACTACTACTGCCACCACCACCACTACTACTACTGCCATCACCACCACTACTACTGCCACCACCACTATTACTACTGCCACCACCACCAACCACCACTACTGCTACTACTACTGTTATCACCACCGCTGCTACTGCTGCTGCTGCTGCTACTGCTGCTGCTGCTGCCACTGCTGCTGCTGCTGCCGCCGCCACCGCCACTGCTTCTACTGCCATTGCTACTACTACTGCCACCACTGCTACTACTGCCACCACTGCTACTACTACTGCCACCACACTGCTGCTACTACTACTGCCACCACACTGCTACTACTGCCACCACACTGTGCTACACTACTGCCACCACACTGCTACTACTGACAATCTGCCACCACACTGCTACTACTGCCACCACACTGCTACTACTGCCACCACACTGCTACTACTGCCACCACACTGCTACTACTGCCACCACACTGCACTAGCCACAACTGCTACTACTGCCACCACACTGCTACTACTGCCACACAACACTGCTACACTGCCACCCACACCTGCTACTACTGACTACTGCACCACACTACTGCGCACCTACTGCTGTACTGCTCTATACTGCTGCTACTGCTGCTACTGCTACTACTGCTACTACTGCTACTACTGCTACTACTACTACTGCTACTACTACTACTACTACTACTACTACTACTACTACTACTACTACTACTACTACTGCCACCACACTGTGACCACTGCCACTACTACTGTCACCACTACCACCACCATTGCCACTACTACTGTCACCACTACCAGCACTTCTGCCGCTGCCACCACCACCGCCGCTGCCACCACCACCAAAGTACAGTGGACCCCCGACTTACTATATTAATCCGTTTCAGAGAGCACATCATAAGATACTGCCACCACCACCACCACCACTACTGCTACAACTACTGCTACCACCACCACTGCTACTGCTGCTGCTGCCGCCGCTGCCGCCGCTGCTGCCGCTGCTGCTGCTGCTGCTGCCGCTGCTGCTGCCACTGCTGCTGCCGCTGCTGCCGCCGCTGTTGCCGCTGCTGCCGCTGCCGCTGCCACCGCCACTGCTACTACTGCCATTGCTACTACTACTGCCACCACTGCTACTACTGCCACCACTGCTACTACTACTGCCACCACACTGCTGCTACTACTACTGCCACCACACTGCTACTACTGCTATTACTGCCACCACACTGCTACTACTACTACTACTGCCACCACACTGCACCACTACCATCACCACTGCCACTACTACTGTCACCACTACCACCACCATTGCCACTACTACTGTCACCACTACCAGCACTTCTGCCGCTACCACCGCCGCCGCTGCCACCACTGCCGCTGCCACCACCACCAAAGTACAGTGGACCCCCGACTTACTATATTAATCCGTTTCAGAGAGCACATCATAAGATGAAATTATTGTAAATTGAATTAATTTTCCCCATAAGAAATAATGGAAATCACATTAATCCTTTCAAGATGCCCAAAGTATGAAAAAAAATTTTACCACATGAAATATACATTTTCCTACACTTACCTTTATTGAAGATGTGGTGATGAGTGATAAGACACTGTTTGTGTCCTGGGAGTACCTTTTCCTCCTGAGTAATGTAGGTCCTGTTTGGCATTTTCTTCCAGAACAGGCCTTATCACACTGTATGCCACTACAATTCTTAAATCTCTCAAACCAACCTTTGCTGGCTTTAAATTCACCAATATGAGCACTAGCTCCAGGCATTTTTTCCTGTTCACCTGGGTGTTAGTCGACTGGTGTGGGTCGCATCCTGGGGGACAAGATTAAGGACCCCGATGGAAATAAGTTAGTCCTTGATGACACACTGACTTTCTTGGGCTATCTTCGGTGTCTAACCCTCTGGAGTTGATTGTTTCTTGGTATTCTCGATAAGCCCATGGTGGCTTATTTAGCAGTTACAATCACTAAAAACACTGGAATAATACAAAATTTATCGATTGTATGCGTACAACCATCCATCCTGGCTTGTAAACAATGTCACACTAGCTCAGCTGAGGCACTCAGGCCAGACGGACCAGACGGCCGCGTTCAGGACGAATGATGTAAGTTGAGTTTTTCAACGTAGGTTGGGGTCAAATTTTTACCCTGACAAGCATCGCAAGTCGATTTTATCGTAGGTTGAGGCCATTGTAAGTCGGGGGTCCACTGTACTAATGTTGCTGCTGCTGCCGCCGCCACCACCGCTACTACTGCCACCACCATTGGCCATTGTATCTGCAGGGAGGCATACCTTCCTTCCCTGCCACCCCCTCTTGTTTTTCCTCTTCCAAGTGTTGCTGCATTTCTAACTCTATCTTGTACTGTGGGGTGGACAAATATGTACATAGTCTTATTGACTGTGAAAGCTAGTGTACTGAGTGGCTGCAGGTTGGAGATTGAGATGCTTGACGCTGAGACACCACGCTGCCCCTTTCCATGACCCATGTTCTTGTATGGCATACAATACTGACTCGCTGGAGAGCCTGTCCTAACTCCAAGTTGTTGGTAAACGGGTATGTCACTAAGTGAGGAGAAACTGTAGTACAAGATGTGAAATTATCTAATTTTGCAAAGTATCTCACAATTTTTATAATTAATAATTCATCATTTTCCAGGACATAAATGATTATTATTTCATCTTTTGGGTTATTACTTGCCAATACTTTGTGTTTAAACCCCGTGAAGCATAATGTTTTATTTAATGTATATGCATAAATCTTAAGATGTGTTTCTCTCTTTCAGCACACATACACTGATGTGACATTAGCCTGTGAGGGACGGTTATATCCAGCCCATAAATTTGTGCTATCAACGTGTAGTGAATACTTCAGTGATATATTTACTTCCACAAGTGGTAACAATATAGTTATTGTACTTAAAGATGTTAGAAGACAAGATCTTGAGTATTTGCTTGACTACATGTACCTGGGGCAAGTTGATGTCGCTCAGTCAGAGTTATCGAGCCTTATAAAAACCGCCGAGTGCCTTAGAATAAAAGGGTTAGCCATCCCAGATGATGAACCCCAGCAGACCTCAAGAAGAGGTCTAGATGAACGAGACAGAGAAGGAAGCCCCCCTTCCAAGAAGAAGAGACACTTAATGGAGGATGATAGACCTAGTAGCATATCCACTAACAACACAACTAATAGATTACCACTTGTGGCCCTTCCACCACAATCACAACAACAGGCATTGTTGCAGAGATTACAACAAGCACCTTTGCCACAATCTACTCAGGCACCTCCAACATCACAAGCAGCTGGAAAAAGTCATCCTTCACCATTGCCTCATTCACTGACATCTCAAGTTCCAAGATCATCACAAGTCCCCACAAGTCCGCTCCCTCCAACATCATTATCACAGTCACATCCGACTCTTCCATCACCAACACAGTCTGCTTCATTACCAGTCATAAAGCAAGAAGTAGCAGATCCTCCAGAAACACCAGAAGTTTTTATGAATGAAAATTATGATGAGAATGAAACTAAACCAGATGTCTCCGACTCGAGACACTTGGAGCAGGATGTGGCAATTGCAGGACCCTCAGGATTGCAAGGGGTGAGTATCATAAATCCTCTCTTTTTTTTTGTGGGTTCCTAATAAACATAAATGTTATAGATAATATGAATAATTCCTCATTTCATTCTTCACCTATCTTCATTTACTTTACAGTTTTTCTTGAACAAGTTTCTCAGAAATGTAGTTTTTCTTCCAAATCACCAGTTAAAGGAGGCTTAGAATTCTTCCATCATAGCTATAACTTTAATACCCATTTTGCCTTCGACTGCTGTCTGATCTTGTGCGCTTCCCTGTATTTGGGCTGAGGTCCAAAGTTGGGATAGCAAGCCTGAAACTTGAGTTTTTGTTAATTTTGAGAGGAGCATAACTGTTGTTGCACACCTTCATGAGGAAACTGCTGACAACCCCTCCCCCCTTCCCAGCAGCTAAATCTGTAGCCATTGATTACACCACTTCACCAGACATTTGACTCCGTCACTGCTGCCTGTTAAGCTTTCCCGTAAAGTCAGTGCCACCCAGTTGCCTAATTTCCTGCCGTAGGTAGGGAATCACCAAGCCCCAACCATTCAGTTGAGTGAATGCATGAGGGAGTTATGAGCTAAGAGAGGATAAGGGTTTTGGGAGACGTGTACTGTATTCAAGTGAGAGACTGTTCTAGAGTGTGTAGTAAGAAAATTTTGAGTGCCTTGGGTAAATAAGAATGTACAGTTCCCATGAATGGGCTTTTTCATAGAATTGGATCATTCAAAAGTTTTGCTGAAGGCCGACCAACGAATTGGTTCAATCACCCAACATTTTTCTAGCTCGATGGCCTTCTCATGCCCAGGCACCTTTATTCTGGTCATTACTTCTTATGAATGACAATGTTTGCCAGGTTACACAAATGTGTTATGGAGATATGGTCTCTGAATTACAAACTGAACCCAAATCTGAAAGTTATGCAGACTTGCTGAACTTTTTATTATTAGAGGTTCATAGTTGTACGGGATCTAGGAACGTTAACTGCTGCATACGTATAGGGACGACTGTACCTTGAATCATGTTTGGAAAGATGTTCACTAATACAGTGGACCCCCAGTTAACGATATTTTTTCACTCCAGAAGTATGTTCAGGTGCCAGTACTGACCGAATTTGTTCCCATAAGGAATATTGTGAAGTAGATTAGTCCATTTCAGACCCCCAAACATACACATACAAACACACTTACATAAATACACTTACATAATTGGTCGCATTCGGAGGTGATCGTTATGCGGGGGTCCACTGTATGTACTATAGTATGTTTTAATTTTGGGAGTCTGAGCAGTGAAAGGGTTAATGGCAGGGGTCTCTTGGACAATAAAAAGGTTAATTTTGGGGGTCTGGACAATGAAAGGGTTAATTTGGGGGGCAGGGAGTGTCAGGATAGTGAAAAGGTTAAAAATAGAAAAAGTTGAAGAGGTGAAATGCACAGTGAGAGTAGCTCATTCGACTATGTGTTGGTAGATACAGATTTGAAGAGCAGATGTGTTAGTTTTTATAGGAGCTGTTGATGTTTCCTCATGATTGAGTGGTAGCTTAAATAAGAGGAAGGTAAATTACAAAGAGAATGGTATCATTTGGTAAAAGGAAAGTAAATTAGTAAAAGTTGATAATGCCTGCAGTGTTACCCTTTAATGAGACCAGCAATCCTGATCAAGTGCTAAATGAGTTATTTCTTCTGTGTCACGCTCAATACCTCCTTGATTGTCATTATTTTCCTCCCTTCTACAGTAACCCTGCTGACTTCAGTATGGTACTGTATAAATTTGGTAAAATTACTGACAGTGTTAAATGGACATGAGCAACTAATGAGACATCACTGCTTTGTTTTGTTCACCAGGAACTTTTATCAAATCAATATTGGCCTGATGAAGCTCTTGTCACTTCAAACAAACTGGCCGTATTGCACCAAGGCATGGTGGCCCAAAAAGAAAAAAAAAAAAAGTTTCTCTTTTTTACTTTAGTAATGTATACAGTAGGGCCCCGTTTTACGGCATTTCGACTTACGGCGTTCCGCTAATACGGCGATGTCAAATTATGACCAAAATTTGCTATACAGCAAGTGGTCTTTCAAATACGGCACGCCCCACCTGGTTTGTTTACATTCTCCATGAGCACGTCTATTGTCTGGAAACTTTCCAAAATTTCAAGTGTTTTAAAGTTATTGCATATTTTATATGTACTCTGATAATTATGCTTATGTGTACCTGTACCTAAATATACTTACACACTGTGCTGGTGTGTAGGTACACATTAAAATCACTAAGAGTCTCTCTACTCATGATGCCATAGTAATATTATGTAATAATAATCTTTCTTGGGCACATTAGCCCTTTGTCGCGCAAGGGGTCCGAAAATTTGAAATTCGAACTGAACTCCCTATGGTGGATAGAGTAACTCAATACAAGGTCACTGATCCCATATAAATTGATTTCTGATGGTTAGTTTTCGAGCAATTGCTAATCTCCGAAGACCGAAAATATTCGGCTGCGCCCGACAAAGGGATTAAAAAATTTTATGTTGCAAACTTGCAATTGTTAATAAAACACACCAAAACAATTTTTTAAATTTAATATACAAACAGACAATATAAAAAACATAAATGGAACTTGTATCAAAACATTTTTTAATTGTTACAAAAATATAAAAAGGAAGCAAATATCAACAGTGCCAAATTGCAAAGTGATGCAAGTTTCAATCCCTATATTCCTGAGATTCATTTGGAAGACCAATGATTCTATATTGCTAAATGGAAAGATGGAAGTCTGAGAAACAATTTCTATCAGTCTTTATGAAACTTGAAGAGCAATATTCTCATGGATCTCTTCCTCATCCGGGTATTCCTCAATCCTAAAAGTTCTCTTTTTCCTCATTACTTTCTGCTTTTTGGCTGGCCTTTCTTCCCTTTCTTCCTCCTCATCATCACTTGACATCTCTGCATCCTGTGCATCCGGTGGCAAGTATTCATCACCACTATCCAGCAATTCTGGTTCGTCTACCTCTGGTTCCGAGTCACTGTCTTCAGAAACGCAGACATACCTCGACCTGCTGGTCGACTGCTCCCCATAAAACAGCCTCTCATGGAACTGGAAGGACAATAGAAACCTCCTGTATAAATCCAGACCACTACAGAGTTCATATATGCAATTGAAAATTTCTTATAAATATTTATTTGACTAAAATTGGACATTCCCGGAAACTCGCGCAAGACCGAAATAATTCGGTCTAAAATGCTTGCACTTTTTTCAACTGCATGCTACACTCATATTATGCTTCACACGGACTTTAGGTATATATCAAAATATGCCTAAACTATTCATGTAAGCACTAAACACAACAATCAGTACTTACCGACATTGTAGAATGTATAATCCAAGAGTAGATTAGTAAGGGTGGAGGGAAAAATGCGTGTGTGGGCGAAGCCAAGCCACCAGTGTTTATATTTTGATCTCTCAACCAATGGGAAGGCGGCAGAAGCGAACTGTACTTAGCTGAAGAGACTCAGGGAAGGCTTGTGATTGGTTGGAACTAAAAAATGGGAAGCTGGCCGCGCAGGGCACGGAGTATGACACGCGCCAAAAACACGTAATTAAGACCGAATTTTTTTTTTAGATGTCTTATTTTATGTTAATAAAGACATTTTCATTAATCCATCTATGATATTTTCTTCGAAATTATATAAGAAACACGTTACATAGCATATAAACATTATACATACTCCCACAGAATAAAAATTGACACAAATATGAGATTTGTTTACAAAGCGGCTCTGTAGGAGTGTTGGAAAAATTACGTTTCTTCTAGTCAAACACTGGGGGATACTAACTGTAGATAAATATACCTTTCGTATGCCTTCACTCTATATATAGCAATTCACGACCCTTGTGGGTTTAGTGCTTCTTTTTTATTATGAGTATAATAAATAAGGGCAATGTGTGGTGTAAATATTATGCAGAAAATTCGGAGTGTGGAAATTAGGAAAAGGTGTGGAGTTAATAAAAGTATTAGTCAGAGGGCAGAAGAGGGGTTGTTGAAGTGGTTTGGTCATTTAGAGAGAATGGATCAAAGTAGAATGACATGGAAAGCATATAAATCTATAGGGGAAGGAAGGAGGGGTAGGGGTCGTCCTCGAAAGGGTTGGAGAGAGGGGGTCAAGGAGGTTTTGTGGGCAAGGGGCTTGACTTCCAGCAAGCGTGCATGAGCGTTTTAGATAGGAGTGAATGGAGACGAATGATACTTGGGACCTGATGATCTGTTGGAGTGTGAGCAGGGTAATATTTAGTGAAGGGATTCAGGGAAACCGGTTATTTCATATAGTCGGACTTGAGTCCTGGAAATGGGAAGTACAATGCCTGCACTTTAAAGGAGGGGTTTGGGATATTGGCAGTTGGGAGGGATATGTTGTGTATCTTTATACGTATATGCTTCTAAACTGTTGTATTCTGAGCACCTCTGCAAAAGCAGTGATAATGTGTGAGTGTGGTGAAAGTGTTGAATGATGATGAAAGTATTTTCTTTTTGGGGATTTTCTTTCTTTTTTGTGTCACCCTGCCTCGGTGGGAGACGGCCGACTTGTTGAAAAAAAAAAAAAGCAATGAGTGTACTGTATATGCATTTTATCACTGTTTCAGCATCTTTGTAAATTATGTGTGGGTAGGGGTGGCCAGGAGGGCTACTACACATAACTTCTTATAGTAAATGCTACTCACCTTTTGCCCTACATTAAGACTACGAATATTTTGAGGTAAATAATGAGTGTACTGTGTGTGTATTTTACTTTTTATTTTTTTTAATGCCTAAGTTATTGCTAACTTAATATATGTTAGTGTAAACGTGTTATCTGGCATTTATATGCATTTATAAGTGGAAAAAATGGCGTTCTGCTTTCCAGCAGTAGCCTGGAATCTAACCTGCCATATAAGTGGGGCCCTACTGTACAGGAGAAGGGGTTACTAGCCCCTTGTTCTCGACATTTTAGTTACTTCTTACGACACACGTGGCTTACAGAGGAAGACTTCTGTTCTACTTCCCCATAGAGAGTTCTGGTCACTTAACTTTATAAATTTATCATTAATTGTTCTTGTGTTTGTTTACTGGACCTTAAAATTATATATTGCAGGCAATATTAGATATTGCTGACATCAGTATTATTTTTTATTATTTTTTTATCATCACACTGGCCGATTCCCACCAAGGCAGGGTGGCCCGAAAAAGAAAAACTTTCACCATCATTCACTCCATCACTGTCTTGCCAGAAGGGGTGCTTTACACTACAGTTTTTAAACTGCAACATTAACACCCCTCCTTCAGAGTGCAGGCACTGTACTTCCCATCTCCAGGACTCAAGTCCGGCCTGCCGGTTTCCCTGAACCCCTTCATAAATGTTACTTTGCTCACACTCCAACAGAACGTCAAGTATTAAAAACCATTCGTCTCCATTCACTCCTATCAAACACGCTCACGCACGCCTGCTGGAAGTCCAAGCCCCTCGCACACAAAACCTCCTTTACCCCCTCCCCCCAACCTTTCCTAGGCCGACCCCTACCCCGCCTTCCTTCCACTACAGACTGATACACTCTTGAAGTCACTCTGTTTCGCTCCATTCTCTCTACATGTCCGAACCACCTCAAGATATATAACTGCTATATAACAAATCCGTCAGAGTGCATAATGTTTTGAGTTAGCTAACTCAGGGGAAGCTAGTTTATTCTGGTATATACAAATACAGTTACATAAATTATTACACATAGCAGCATATGTGTAGAGAACCTGGGATAAACCCCCTCTCCCCCCCCAAAAAAAAAGCCAGAGTAATTTATTTCCATTGGGGTCTTTTAAATTTCCATTGAAGTGGTAGTGGCAGTACTATGTATTGTGGCAAACGTTGCAAGGATAGTGTTGTGCAACACCACAATGCCTGCCACTACTTACTACTACAAACAATCATGTTCACTTAGTGACCCTCTCAGACTTGAACTTTACCTATGACTCAACTAACTCAAAGTATTAGTTAGGTACTTAGTATCATAACAACAGTAAGACTGGATAATAAGTAAGTAAGTAATGTGCTCATATTTAGATACATGTACACTTATGTACAATTATACCACATGGTAACATATGTATAAATTACCTAGAATAACCCAAGATAGTCCAAGGGAATTATGTCCATTAGGGTCCATGTAATATCTTATTATTGAAGGCTTAGCCGTTGCACAACAACATCCTTGCAACACTTGCCATGTAGCCAAATCTACCACCTCCTTAATTTTCCTATTTTACTAACCTTCTATATTATATAACAGCAAACTTGGTAAATATTTCTTGCATCTCTAGGGTACACATTTATACATGAGTTTGTGGCACGTATATGACAAGTGATCTTATTTATTGTTGTTTGATCTCTTAAATAAAATATTGAGTGGGGAACTATGGGGTAAAAACGACCGTTAATGGTAACCCACAACTGCACCAGTCTTATTATGAAGTTATCTTATCACTACTACTGCTACGCGCCATCCATATGCATATGCGGTACATACGTATTGTTAACTATTAAGTTAGATTATAGAAATATTATTTGAGTACACGTGTCCACATAATTCCGTCATCTTTACAGATTACCGTTGAGTACATCTGTCTAGATTTTCTTAGTTTCGAAGATTTTAGTTTATTTCATGATAATATATATAGATATTTCTCAGTTATTACTCGTATCTTTGAGAAGTACGTTTAGTCACGTGGCAGTTGAGATTTTAATGTTGGAAATAAAGATAAGAAATATTGATAAGTGAGTAGCCAGGGCCGACCCTGTAACATTATTGGAACAAGAGAGAACATCTGGCAACGTTCCACACCTCCGCGTGTTATGTTTCCAGTCTCGTTCACTGTCTCCCAATGTATACCTCGACGCTGAATAATTATTCTGCCCTTCATAGTTTCTTTATATAATATAATTAACATTGCCGATGAATGTGGAGGATTGTTTTAAAATAAAGGCCACTTTATATCTCCGCACTTACTTACGATACGGAATTATTATGGCTGTTAATCGAAGTCCAAGCCCATACTACCTAACTGAAACCAGATAAGAATTTTCAACGTTTGCTGCATAACCTTATTTTATTATCTACATCCTTTGTATATTAATAAACATAGTAATATTGAACTTTCACAGTCTCTTAAGTGAAAAATAAAAAATCCATCACCGAGATTAAACTCGACGTTTTGTATATACGGTAAACGTAAGCCTTTAAGTTTTTTTAAGAGATGTGGGTGTCCCATGACGGCCATTCTAAATGCGTACAAGAACCTGTCCTTGAGAAACCAAACATGGACCATACTGTCGACAATTGAGCAAAACTTGCACATATGCATCTTCTACCCACTTGACAGCCTTACTAGTGCCGGACAATAACTGAGGTATGTAATTAGAATGTGCCCAAATGCGTGATGAACGTTGGAATTGTCAAACGTTTGTGGTAAATGTGAGGAAAGTGGGTGTTGGTTGTGAGGCGGCGGGTGCGCAATGGCGAGCACAAGGCCGCTTTTATGACTCTATTGTCCTCTTATACTGGTGTATATCCCACGTAGGAACACTGGGATGTCTTGTGCTCGTGTTAGTGCAGCGGGGTAAAGATGAACACTTCCGGAACACGGATGAATTAACCTGCAATAAACGTTTTGTAATTAGTAATGTAGGCCTGTGTGGCAGCCAGACTACGTTGTAAGGCGTAGGCTGTGACTCACCGCCCCGCCATAATACATCTCCCACACTACATAATATAGCCTTCCTGCCACTTAGTTCGGCCTGCCTGGCAACACCACCACACTCCAACAGAACGTCAAGTATTAAAAACCATTTGTCTCCATTCACTCCTATCAAACACGCTCACGCATGCCTGCTGGAAGTCCAAGCCCCTCGCACACAAAACCTCCTTTACCCCCTCCCTCCAACCTTTCCTAGGCCGACCCCTACCCCGCCTTCCTTCCACTACAGACTGATACACTCTTGAAGTCATTCTGTTTCGCTCCATTCTCTCTACATGTCCGAACCACCTCAACAACCCTTCCTCAGCCCTCTGGACAACAGTTTTGGTAATCCCGCACCTCCTCCTAACTTCCAAACTACGAATTCTCTGCATTATATTCACACCACACATAGCCCTCAGACATGACATCTCCACTGCCTCCAGCCTTCTCCTCGCTGCAACATTCATCACCCATGCTTCACACCCATATAAGAGTGTTGGTAAAACTATACTCTCATACATTCCCCTCTTTGCCTACAAGGACAAAGTTCTGTTATATATTATATTATATATTATATATTGTTGAATGGTGACATCAGCATATATACAGGTCCATGCTAGATGGGACCTACTTGCATCCCACTAACATTACTCCATGAAGAAATCTTGTTAACTGGTTCAGGTCGGCCATCACTAATCCAGTAATCAGTTATCCGGTTCCATCAGTAATCCGGCACTAATTTCTGCTAGCATAATTTCAAATTTCATCATTATACTGACTCAAATTTCATCATTATACTGGCTCAGAAATTGTGCAGATGGTTGTAAATCCACAGCAGCAAGCCAGTGGAGGAGAAAGCAGTGATGAAAATGAGGAAGATGGTGGGTTAATTAAGTGTATTCTATCTTGACCACTCTGTAATCCAGCAAACTCACTAATCTGGCACACTACAGGTTCCAGTGATGCTGGATTAGTGATGGCCAACCTGTATATTTTCCTCAAAATAAATTTTGTTATTTTTTGAAGCCACTGTTAAACAATTTTGGCTCTTATGCTGTCTTTTAATGGTAGTGTTTTCTTTTTAGTCTTCAGATAACTGGGATGGTGACAGTGACTTGGCTGGTTTTGCTGGAGGTGAGGGTTACTCTGAGAGCGGGCTGGACGATCAGGGAGACTCGGAAGTTCAGGGGGTGAGTGTTGTGCTCTTTACTTTCAATGCTTTTGGCAGTAAAGGGCTTGTAATTACAAAAAAATGGTACTGTGCTATTATGAAAGTTGAGTAAATTTCTATTATGGTTTATAAAATTTAGTCTTCATTTGAGATCACCTCACTGGTGGTACAGGTACTTAATATCACTGTTAATATATCTTTCAAATCCTTTACTTCCAAAATGTCACAAGAAGGTAAGCTTGGTTTTTGCCCAGTTGAATTTTTTATGCAAGTGCATACCATATTTTGGTATGGATAAATAGTATACTTATTGATGATTTTAATAATTGTGTAACTAAGCTTATTTTCATTGTTAGTAGTTGTAAGTAGAAAATGGGACCAGAATCATCAAATTGCTACTTTTGTTGATCTGTGTAAATATGTTTATATTTTAGATGGTAGTGTGTGAATGTACTGTGCATAGTTGACTGTTCTTGATGGTCAGAAGGATGAGGAAAGAGCAAATGATTTTTTGATGCAAATACTGAGATTGTAGATACTTTCTTTTTATGACTGCTGAAAGAATATTTTATTGCAAAAGGTTTGAATCAAAATACAGTGCTTTTTAGTCACAGTACATTACTGTAAATAGGGTTTTAGAGAGTTTCAGTAATTTGGCAGGTTACCGGTAGCTAATCAACAAATGTGTAAATAGATGACGTGCAAGAAGCTCAGAGATGTTGTATGTATATTGTGGGCAGACATTAAGTTGAGATAAGAATCTATGAGGAAGTTATATTTAAAAATGAATTGATAGCAGTGTCACTCACATAGATGAATAAAAGTAACTTGTTACTGGATCAAAAGTCTCAAGAAAAATCTCATCTGTTGTGTTCTTTTAAGTACATAATTGGCAGATATACAAAATGTATTCCGAATATGAAGATACAAGAAATATAAAAAATGTTCATCTAGTTCTGTATCTATGTGCTAAGTTGCAGTGGTGCAGAAGAAATGCATATGCCAGAAACATTGAGATTTAAAGGAGGCAAATAGTAATGAATCTTAGTAAGAAAAACATTAGTATTATTGAAAGTGCACACATGATAATACAGAATGTAAAAGTTAAACCAAAATGCTTTTAAAGAAATAGTGTAGGTAAAAGAATGTTTATAAATAGGTGAGGCACCGGTATTAAAAGGCAGCTCTATAGCCTAATTTTTCAACTTGAATAAGGTTATTTATGAAAGAGATGAAAAACTGAAGATCCTGAGAGAGGACAAATTATATACCTCAACTATATAGTGCAGCCATACTTTTTCATTTGTATAAAGCATTATTTTTGAACATTGCATTAAGGTGGATACTGGAAGATGTTTAATTATGTCTCAATAATGTATGGTGTGAATATACACAGAACAAGAAGTAAAGGAATTTGAACGCAATGTGGTGTTAAAAAAGTACTCTGTTATTAGGAAAGTAGAAGACTGGTTGTTAAAAAGGTGCAAGGTAGGCTGAACAATAGAATATGAATGTGGGGTTAGATGATTAGTAATGTAGGGGACATCAAGGAAGGGTTTGAAGAAGAGTTTAGCTTGTTTTGAAAGGTAGTAGGGGTCAAACATCAAGCAGGCATATGTGGACATGCGTCAGATTGCAGTGAAGGAAAGTGCTTTTTGAGATTTTACTTGCATGGTAGTGTATTAAGGGTTTCAGGAATATTGGTTAGTTGGATTTGAGTTTTATCAGATGGGAGTATGAAGCCTGATGCCTGTGTTTTCAAAGACAGTTATTGAATGAAGCCAGCATTTTGAAAGAGTTATTTTGTAATGAGACAACCATTAATAATTTCACAACAGCAATGACAAACATCGACTGGCAAACTGAGCTAGAAATCTCTACAGATACTGACGAATGTATTAATAATGTTCTTAAAAAGACCCAATGTCTCTATAACAAGCACTGCCCTAAAAAAACTAAACAGATCATAGCTAAGAGATTGAACAGTCCCTAGCTAATGCCCAGCACCCTCAAATCCATAAATATGAAGCACCTATATGAAAAACAGTACAGAATGGGTCAAATAACCAGGGACCAAACAAAACGTTACTCATCAATTCTGACCAGCCTGATAAGAATGGCAAAAAAATTGTATTATGAGAACAGATTATCCAACTTTAAGTTGGATAATCTGTTCTCATAAAGATATCAGGATATCAGGAAACAGAACAATCAGACTAGCAAAACCAGGTGAACCCCCGCTCCCACCGACTGAAACAGCAAACAGACTCGATGTTTTCTTCTCCACCATAGGAAAAAACCTGGCGAATAAAATCCCAAGCTCAAACACCCCACCTAATGACTTCCTCACTGGCACCTACCTGAATACACTATTCCTATCTCCAACCAACCCAACAGAAGTCTCACTTATTATCAACACACTAAAGAACAAGGCAGGAGATGTAAATAACTTGATACCCTTTATATACAAAAAAAGCTTCACAGGTACTGATACCAGTTATTGCAACACTCTTTTAACAAATCCACCGAATCCTCTACCTTCCCCACAGTTCTCAAAATAGTGAGGGTCACCCTGATACATGAAGGAGGAGATCAAGCAGACCTGAATAACTATAGGCCAATGTCCAACTTACCCCTTCTCTCTAAAATCTTTGAAAAATTAATTCATAAGCAAATCTATTCTTATCTCCCACAACATACTCAACCCCTGTCAGTTTGGGTTCAGGCCTAATAAAAATACGAATGATGCTATTATACACATGCTAGAACTAATATACACTGCACTTGAGAAAAAAGAAGTCCCATTAGGAATCGTCATTGATTTATGTAAAGCTTTTGATACAGTTAACCATGATTTGTTGCACATAAAATTATCACACTATGGTATAAGAGGGCACTCCCTCAACTACCTAAAGTCATACCTTAGCAACAGCAGTCAATATGTGTACACAAATGGAGCAAACTCTTCCACACAACCAATTACAATTGGTGTCCCATGGGAACAGAACTACAGATGTTCCACTTAACATAATGATAAATGGTTCACCTATCACAAAGCTCACAGAGGGTAAATTCTTAGGAATCCACCTTGATAATAGACTCAAATTCCAAACACATGTACAACAAATTTCCAAGAAAATCTCCAAGACTGTAGGCATACTATCGAAGATACGGTACTATGTTCCACAATCAGCTCTCCTTGCCCTATATCACTCACTCGTTTACCCCTATCTCACCTATGGAATCTGTGCATGGGGCTCAATAACAATAAATCATCTCAGACCATTAATTACCCAACAAAAGGCTGCAGTCAGAATGATAACAAATTCCCCCTCCAGGCAGCATACTCCACCAATATTCAAATCTCTAAACTTACTGTACAACACATCCATACTTATTATTGTGCCTATTACATACATAGAACACTAAACTCAGATATAAACCCTCCCCTCAAACTTCTTACCAACCTCAACAGGACACACGACCATAACACAAGGCACAGATCACTTTGATGTTTCCCGTGTCCATCTTACACTATGTAAAAACATATTGCACATAAAAAGCCCAAAAATTTGAAATTCATTACCTGTGAATACAAAAGAAACACTGTCTGTTTATCAATTCAAGACTCTTCTTAAAAAAACACTCACCCAAAACTAAATAAATATTGAATCCCGTGATCCTATCAACCTATGTTTTTAATTGTAATGCTACAAATTTGTACAACTGTAATGCATCATAATTGAAATGTTCAAATTTCATTGTTTAAAATACTCAATTGTACTTCATATTGTAAATTGTTTACTGTAATTTTTACCACTGAATCTATCATTGCTTAGTTAATTTTAAGTTAATTTTAAGCATGCCCATAATGCTCTGCATACAAGGGGCTATTGGCATGTACACTCAACTACTATAATTCCTTGTACAGCTAAAAAATTATTATTATTGTTAATTTAATGGGCTATTAGATCATGAAGTGCTTACAGTTCTAGGACAACTGGGGAGTAAGTGATGAATTTATTTTCTGCTTCAGATAACTTTGCCATGATGGTAAATAATTAAATTTATAAATTAGGAGATAAAGATAATTTATAATATATATTAATAGTATACTATAGTAACATAGGTGCATGATCATGCATATGAAAGTTAGGATGATAATCGTTAACCAGGCAAATATTTGGCAGTTTTAGGGATAGCAAATAAAAGTCCTAGCCTTCAAGATAACTAATTCACTATGGATTCAAAATGGAAAGACAAATCTTATTTACAGGTATGGCAGTGTAAATGGTTGACAACGAAAGGGAAATACTCTAGATGTGGTAGAAATTGAATGTAGCATGAATGACATATTATGGGTAGGGATGACATTTAAGGAATATGAAAGTACAGACATTAGTTTCCAAGAAGGAATGTGCAAAAGTGTTATGTGAGGAAAGGTCTGTGTGGGGCACATAATTTTGATATAGAGAAGGCATACGGATTATGTTTGGTAAGTAATACTATTTCTTATACATTGTAGTAGATACTGTATTTCCACTTTAGATGATGATGGTCTCATTGAACAAATATTGGTTATTCAGTTTTAGTTTTATTATTTTTATTGTATTTGCTAGTCATTCACAACATCAATTGATGTTAGTATAATGACTGGTAAAAAAGCAGAATCCTGAGTGAATACAGCTGATTATTTATTCTTGTTAAATTGAATGTTAAAAGTAATGTGGTATTGGAAACATTTATTAACTTGAATTGTTTACTTCCAACAAGTTTTATTTCTGAAAGTGGTAAAACAGACCGTTCTGTAATGAAATTTGATAAGTGAAAAACTCAGGAAGTGGGGTGGGGGGGGGGGAAGAGAAATGAAGCTTTAAATACTGTAAATGCAAGAAAGAGTACACAGTACATTTATCGGGAAACTGTATGTTGGTTTTCAGTTTCATAAAAGTGAAGCAGACTCCAGGATTGCTCACATCTGAGCAAGCAAATACAAATGAGAAAGTTGAACAGATTAATTATGTTAGCATTTTTCTTTGAATGTGGTTTGCTAGGCTGCAGCTCTGTATATGGCTTTATATACCTGTATATACCTGCTGTATGTGTACTTGTTGATTCCAGGGGTCATTGCCCAAACTATTCCCAGACCAGACCTCCTGGCTGCTGGCTAGATCATTTACTGCTTGTTCTTGCAATGTGCAGTTGAATGTAGGTACGGTACCAGTCTGGCTGATGAAGCGCTGAGTTGAGAAACTCAAGGTGTCTGTTGTTAGTTCCTTCTTTTGTATGAGTGAAAATTTTTGGGCCCTTCGCAATTATTGAATTAATGTTCCTCTGCTATTCCTGTGTCGTATTTGCACTCTACTTAGCCTCTCGCTCTCAAAGGAAGTAGATTTAGTGTGCAGATTTGGAACCAATCCAGGTAGTAGGTTGGTAGACAGCAACCACCCAGGGAAGTACTACCGTCCTGCCAGATGACTGCGAAACAGAAACCTGTAACTGTTTTGCATGATGGTAGGATTGCTGGTTTCTTTTTCTGTCTCATAAACACGCTAGATAACAGGGATATCTTGCTACTCCTACTTACACTTTGGTCACACTTCACAGATACTTACACTTTGGTCACACTTCACAGATACTTACACTTTGGTCACACTTCACAGACACGCACATGCATATATATATTCATACATCTAGGTTTTTCTCCTTTTTCTAAATAGCTCTTGTTCTTCTTTATTTCTTCTATTGTCCATGGGGAAGTGGAAAAGAATCTTTCCTCCGTAAGCCATGCGTGTCGTATGAGGCGACTAAAATGCCGGGAGCAATGGGCTAGTAACCCCTTCTCCTGTAGACATTTACTAAAAAAGAGAAGAAGAAAAACTTTATAAAACTGGGATGCTTGAATGTGTGTGGATGTAGTGCGGATGACAAGAAATAGATGATTGCTGATGTTATGAATGAAAAGAAGTTGGATGTCCTGGCCCTAAGCGAAACAAAGCTGAAGGGGGTAGGGGAGTTTCGGTGGGGGGAATAAATGGGATTAAATCTGGAGTATCTGAGAGAGTTAGAGCAAAGGAAGGGGTAGCAGTAATGTTGAAGGATCAGTTATGGAAGGAGAAAAGAGAATATGAATGTGTAAATTCAAGAATTATGTGGATTAAAGTAAAGGTTGGATGCGAAAAGTGGGTCATAATAAGCGTGTATGCACCTGGAGAAGAGAGGAATGTAGAAGAGATTTTGGGAGATGTTAAGTGAATGTATAGGAGCCTTTGAACCAAGTGAGAAAGTAATTGTGGTAGGGGACCTGAATGCTAAAGTAGGAGAAACTTTTAGAGAGGGTGTGGTAGGTAAGTTTGGGGTGCCAGGTGTAAATGAAAATGGGAGCCCTTTGATTGAACTTTGTATAGAAAGGGGTTTAGTTATAGGTAATACATATTTTAAGAAAAAGAGGATAAATAAGTATACAAGATATGATGCAGGGCGAAATGACAGTAGTTTGTTGGATTATGTATTGGTAGATAAGACTGTTGAGTAGACTTCAGGATGTACATGTTTATAGAGGGGCCACAGATATATCAGATCACTTTCTAGTTGTAGCTACACTGAGAGTAAAAGGTAGATGGGATACAAGGAGAATAGAAGCATCAGGGAAGAGAGAGGTGAAGGTTTATAAACTAAAAGAGGAGGCAGTTAGGTTAAGATATAAACAGCTATTGGAGGATAGATGGGCTAATGAGAGCATAGGCAATGGGGTCGAAGAGGTATGGGGTAGGTTTAAAAATGTAGTGTTGGAGTGTTCAGCAGAAGTTTGTGGTTACAGGAAGGTGGGTGCGGGAGGGAAGAGGAGCGATTGGTGGAATGATGATGTAAAGAGAGTAGTAAGGGAGAAAAAGTTAGCATATGAGAAGTTTTTACAAAGTAGAAGTGATGCAAGGAGGGAAGAGTATATGGAGAAAAAGAGAGAGGTTAAGAGAGTGGTGAAGCAATGTAAAAAGAGAGCAAATGAGAGAGTGGGGGAGATGTTATCAACAAATTTTGTTGAAAATAAGAAAAAGTTTTGGAGTGAGATTAACAAGTTAAGGAAGCCTAGAGAACAAATGAATTTGTCAGTTAAAAATAGGAGAGGAGAGTTAT